TTCAATTTTTAATTTTTTTCGTCGCGCTGTGATGATGTCAAATGCGCGCTTTCGTCGAGCGCGATTTTGTCGTCCGCGGTTTTGTGGTGGAACCGTTAAGTCATTGCTGCGGTTAAGCTAGTAACAGGATTGTTAAGTGAAACTGGCTTCCCCATTGACTTTGCTTGTCAGGAGGTTGCCAAAAGAGACCACATGACCCCTGGATTCCACAACAGGCGTCGGTCCATGCCAGTTGCCAATCATCCAAATTTTGATCATATGACTATGGGGATGCTGCAACATTCCTAAGTGTAAAAAATAGTCCCAAGCCACTTTTTTCAGTGCTGATGTAACTTTGGTCACTAAATGAACTGTTGTAAGTTGAGGACTACATTTGGACTGTGGAGTTGAACATAACAGAATTGCCAGTCCTCCAAACGTCCAGCTTCCTATTGAGTTCACACATCCTATTAAGCCGTAGTGTATTGGTTTTTTGGGGAGGGTTATTAGGTGTATAGAAACACAACCTTGTGGTTTATGGTGTTGTAAAGGATGTTTTAAGCCAGACCTGAATGATCATCCTCTTTTCATCACCCCATAATCCCTTGCAAGGTGAAATCTGGCCAACGGAATGGAGCTGAGTGTTTACTGGCCGGATGCCCTTCCCTGTCGCCAATACGGAGTTTTGTTCAGCAGATATATTCCCAGGGTGCCCAGAGAGAGAGAAATATCTGCCTCTACCTTGGATTGAACTCACAGCCTGCTGATTGTGAGGGGAGAGATCCACCTCAAGGCCACCGCACCGCTCTTTAAGCTGGACTGGAATGTTGCATACAAATAAAGAATTCTTGGCTTCTCCCTTTTTCACCCAGTCGCGGGGTTTTCATAGCTAACATGCAACAAAGACAGAGCTTGTAAACCGCCAATTATATCGTTTGCAATGATATTTTGTGAACGTCCTTTGAAACTTTGCACTGACTTCGGAGAAGAATTCAGAGCAGCTATTTACAGAAAAAAATAAACCTGACACAGTTAAACCCAGGCATAGCCAGGTGGGAACACAGATTTATGGTGGGAAAAATCCCTATCTTCAGGATTAAAAGTCTCTTGAGGGTCCCACTAGGATATTGGGGAGCCTCATCCTTTGAGGTTTTCTTCCTCAATGGGTGAATTCCAGTCAGGTGGAGGACTTTTTCTCATTTTCCATACTGGTGCGTGCTTCTCTTTCTTGGCCAACCGTTCACGCTCACTGTTGCACAACTGTTCCTGCAAGAGATCAAAGCTGTGATTAATAATATCCCAACACTCAGCACACACCATGGTTTTCGGAGTGAAATAGATCTGTAGGGTCCTTGGTGCTCTCTCAGCTTGGTTGCCTTCAGATGTTTCATGACCCAAACTAGGTAACATCATCAGTAGCAAAGCCCACTCCCTGCTAGCACTGATGGTGTTACCTAGTTTGGTAATGAAACGTCTGCCAGAAAACAACCAAGCTCAGCACCAAAGGCTTCCTTCCTTCCTTCCCTTCCATCCATCCATCAATATGCTGACTCTTTAAACCATCAATATACTGACTCTTTAAACCATCAATATGCTGACTCTTTAAACCATCAATATGCTGATTCTTTAAACCAGTGGTCTCCAACCTTGTCAACTTTAAGACTTGTGGACTTCAACTCACAGAGTTCCCCAGCCAACTTTGCTTTTGACCATCATTTATCGGCTGTGACCAGGGGGGCATTTGCCCAGGTTCGCCTGGTATGCCAGTTGCGGCCCTACCTGAACCGGGAGGCCCTCACAACAGTCACTCGAGCCCTCGTGATCTCTAGGCTGGAATACTGCAATGTGCTCTACATG